AATTAAATGACCCCCTCTGTCCTGGTCAACTTTTATCTAAACCATTTTTTTGTAGATACCGTAATTTAGAAGATATTCGGGTCCATAGATTAAAATGACTCACCCTGTATATTTAATGTTTATGTTACTTTTATAGTTGATGTTTACTAGCTCAATGGAGGAAGTCAATAAATCTGAAAGCTTATTTGGCCAATATCCAGTGACAGATCAACTTTGATCAACTTGAGTGAAGGACAGCTCTCTCTCTCTCTCTCTCTCTCTCTTCTCTCTCTCTCTCTCTCTCTCTCTCTCTCTCTCTCTCTCTCTCGAGTCTCTTTTCTTTCTTCCTTTCATTCTTATCTCAGATACTGCCATTTTTTTTAATATCTAGAAGCATTAAACCGAAAAGTCAAATTAGCTTATTAAATTTAGTTTTTAATTAACAAATATAGAAACAATCATAATACTGTACATACATAATAACAATGAAAATTAACAATATATATGTATATTGAACAAACATGAAATATTTTAGATTAATTTAGATATTTAAAATGTTGCAATCATTAGATTTCCTTCATTACTTTTTTACAATTATGCTCCATAATATTAGGATCTTGTAAATATATCGATCATTACTATATTCAAAGCAATATAGCACGTTTTTTTATTTCCTTATTATCCGCTACTATTATAGAATCTATTACATGTACAATAGTAGATTCTATACTAGTATATAGTAACTCGTTACTAAATAATATTTCGTTACTAAATACTTTTATATAATATAATCTTATGTATTCACAATGTATATTTTGTAAACACGACTTTCTATCTAATAAAATTTAATGTAGAAAAACAAAAAAGAAAATTTATCCATTACGTAAACTAAAAAATAAAATTAAAATATAGTATTACACTACTAGCTGTTTGATTGCTTATCAAACGTCAGCTATCTCCCCTAACAGCATTTATTGGCGATACTTATTGGTTAAGGGTATATTGGACTAATATTTGATCAATATTTGTGCTATTAGAATTCGACTTCCTTCACACAATTATCCATGTGGATATAATTTGTAATATATATTACAAATAATTACTTGTGATTACGTAATCGTTAAAAGATTGAAACTCTACGGTAAAGCGTAAATACTAGAACAATCCAAATCACGCTAAATGAAATTAATTATATCGCATCGGGGATAATTCTTTAATTAAATAGCACTTGCTCTCAAGAAATTCCAGATTCCGATAGGAGTCAATATGATCACATCGAGGACACGACACGATTGATGCGAATATCCATGAATATCCAAAATGATCCAAAACGCTCAGAACATTCGTGCAGATCGGTGGAGATCGCAATATTTGGCGCAAATATTTGATTCTAACCTTAGAACCTAAGGTTCGTCGACAGAGGGCATGACACACATTACCGTAATTATGACCGATCGTCGATAACTCTGCTATTTCGGGTAGGACGCTGTAGATGTTGCTCCGCGTCAACATGCCGGCCGGTCGAAAACGCGCGTGGCGCCGCTGGTGATCAAAATCATCAAAATGACGCATGCGTAAAAGCCCAGAATGCGATAGCTCCTTCTCAGCCTGCAAGAAAGGTAAATTGGGCCACGCTGGATATTGGCGTGGTTAAAATCTGTTTATTACGTTAAGATCGTTACGTATTTCGCCTGCGAAAGCGTTGGAATGTATCTCCTAAAGAGAGAATAATAACGTCCCGTATTTATTTCCAGCTCTTCAACTCGCTCAAACATGTCTGACGTAGAAAAGTGAGTACACTTGATATCTTCCGCATTTTCTCCTTTTGTCGTGCGACTAGTCTTAATAAATTAACGGAATCATGAATGTACGGATCTGCATGGTCTCGCAGGAAATGCTTAGTGACATAGGAATAAAGTTTGACGCGTAATAAGTAAATGTATTCATCATTGTAGGATTGGTTAAGCTTTTGTTATGGAAAAATCAGTCTTAGATTTTGCAGTTGTAAAAATATACACATTGTTATAACAACTGATAAATGGAAATAATAAAATGACATTTATTGATAAGGCGAGCTCTAAATAATATTCTGAGATGCCGTATTCAATAAAATTGTTTCCTTATAGTGATGATGTACCATCCGCGATGGCAGCGGGTGGTAGTATGGATGTTAACACTGCTCTACAAGAAGTTCTAAAGAATTCTCTCATTCACGACGGCGTTGTTCATGGACTCCACGAAGCTGCCAAAGCTTTAGATAAGTAAGATACAAAAATGTCAATTATAAGAGGCTTATTTTTTCAGTTAAACTTTTTGAACTGTTCATCTCTTTTCTTTTTTTCCAATGTGAAAAAAAGAAGAAAGATAAACAAACTTCAAGTATATAAGCAAAGAGATATATAAGGTGAATATAGCTGTATAAGGAAACATTCTCTTGTTTCAATTAAAAGAGGAGTATCTCTTAAAATATAATTGCTATATTTTGATATCTTGCTGTTCTAGTACATAAACAATAACAAATATGCCATAAATAAGTAATTTTTTATTGATGTGTGTTTTATATTGCAGAAGACAAGCTATGCTTTGCATCCTGGCAGAAAATTGCGACGAACCAATGTATAAGAAATTGGTTCAAGCATTATGTAATGAACATCAAATTCCATTGATAAAGGTAGATAATAATAAAAAATTAGGTGAATGGGCTGGCTTGTGTAAAATTGACAGTGCGGGCAAGGCACGTAAAGTGGTTGGCTGCTCCTGTGTTGTCATAAAGGTAGGCTGTATTATTTGAAATTTTTTGCTCTTATAAAATTTGTGATAATCATGAAATAACAGTATTAAAGAGAGAGAGAGAGAGAGAGAGAGAGACAATAAATTATAAAACATAATACATGATGATATTTAGGCTCCCTCTACTGAGTAGAACCCATATTATAAACAGATTCATGCTGTAATTATGCCTTGCTGATGTGATTTTATTAATGTTTTCGTCTCTATCGTTATTATTCCATTATTGAGTAAGCATTTATTATTTATAGGATTTTGGTGAAGATACGCCTGCTAAGGATGTTCTAATGGAATATCTTAAACAAAGTGCTGTACATTAATATCTTTTAATAAAATATTTGACATAAATTATACAAATACGTTTATTTCAACATTTCTTAAAGATTTTCATTAAAATATATTATGGATATAAAGAAATTGCAACTACTCTTTTCCAATGAATTTCAAAATGCGTGAGAATTGTGAGAATGTCCCCATTGAAAAAAACGTTGCGATCTTTGTGTCCATGACTGTATAATATTTCATATATAATTAAAAAGACAAGATATATTTATAATATGTTTTTAAATATATTAATGAATACATATATTCTTAATTATTAAGAAGTGTATTATCACTGTTTAGTTTTTGTTATTGTGTTGCAAATATTTTTGTGATTTTCCCAGTCTTTCACTTGACACTCTCTATAAGAAAGAAATATCAAATTTGCATTACTTTTTGAATGCATCTAGCATTTGTTAATAAAGTCTGATTATTATTCCTTATATACCTGCTACAATACCAAACCTCTTTGCATCTGGAACATCGTTTCTTAGATGGTTCTTGACATAACGAACATTTCTTCGTTTCTATACAATCTAACTTTTCCAAATCATAGACATCACTTAAAATTTGTGCGACTTCTTTAATGTAACTTGTGTCTGTTGTAAATAAGTACTTGGACTGATGCCTAGCCAGTTTCTTCCATTTTTTATGATATTTTTCCAGAATAGTTGACTTTATCTATATTTGATATGTTCAATTTTGTGTAACTGGTAATCGATAAACAAATGAGGAGTGAAGAATAGCGATATACCTGTGGTATAACTTCCACGCGAACCGGGCAGGTTGAGTTCGAGGATGGCATTGCCGGCGATATGTTTAAATAAACTAACCATCTCTTCAGCTCTATCAAAGGCGCAATTTGATCGAGTATATCGTCGTGCAAGTGTTTCTGTAGCTAAGGTACAGAGTTCCATTAAAAATTATATTACGTACATTTATATATTTTTGATTGTTATATATATATAATAGTAATTAATACACAAATGAATGAAGAGGGCTTTATTCGGTCAAGACGGGTCATAAAACCCAATAATATATTGTTAATATAAATTTTTACAATTTTCAGTTCAAATTGCCTACCGCAGCTATAGTACAAACTGCGTACCGCAGTACCTAGGATTATTTGTCAGTTTTGTAACATAGTCTTAGACTGAAGCTGGAATAAGTCTTAAGACTACTTCAGAACAAATAATCGGCGTGCAGTTTGAGCAGGAAATTATAAAAATTCACACAGTATATTATTAGGCACTAAGATCCTCTTTGACCGAATATGACCTTTTTCATTCATTTAAGTTTAATTTTTCGATCCATTTTCACTTAATAATTAGTACCTTTGACAGCTGGGACAACCTATGCTCTGTGATTTCATAATATGGAGAACATTTTGGATTAAGAAGTAATTCTCGCAAACCAAACCATACTTGTCCCTCTCTTTTATTAATTTTTCCAATCTCGTTCGGTTTAATTTTCCTCCAACTACCTTCATACATCAACACCTCATCTGCATAAGGATTAATGATAGTTCAACCGTTTATCATACTCCATTTGGATGCTAGAAATGGAAAATAGATGTTATTAGATGAAAATGGATTACCATCATTTTGCTTCTTCCATGGTTGACTTTCTATCAGCTGTGCAAATAAATATGGAACGTCGTGTACAGCTAGCATGCGCGAAATTGCGCAAAGAGGTAAGTTATCCAAAATTTCTATTAGATAATGAAGAATTGAGATACACCGCATCCCAATGTCAAATTCAAATGCCTTTTGCTTCTCTACTATTTCTTCCAGGCAAGAACTGAAGCAAAAAACGTGTGTGATTAATAAATTCGATATCGATCACGAAAATTTGAAATTTATACCTCTGCATAAATAATACAAATATGTATTCTCTGCTGAGTTAATTTTATACTTTCTTATATTTAGTTAAAATAGAGAATATCTTACTTAGTGTCTTTGATTTCATATATTTCTAAAGTTTTTCCATCGAGAAGCATTGTTACGTGTTGAACAGTGTAATCGATGAGGTCAATCACCGTATCATCCAATGTTTGCGCACTTTCACAATGAAACAATATATTTTCCAATAACGAAACCGCGATGACTTCGTGATAGAATATGCTGAATAGCATGAATGTGTTTGTTGGTTCCCCATTAAAATCGATCAAAAGTGGAAACACCTTGTGCTTCCATATGTCGATTTGTATAGCTTCGTACACAAGAATGGAAATCTAAAAACAATATGATTAAATAACTGACACTGTCAAAAAGATAATTACATCAAAGCAAAGTTTTTCACTTACATAGAATGTTGCTAAAGTAGAAAAAATTATAATTATATTAATTAAATATAATTACTATTAATTATTATAAAAATTTTAGTTTTTTATATTAATTAAATATAATGATTATTAAATATTAATAAAATTATATTTTTACACATCTCTTTAGTTTGTCGATAATTTTTCTGCTTGCAATATCGTATCTACAATACTGCTTATAGCACATTTTACAAATTGTTCTTTCTAATTACTTTCTTTAACGAGATGAACCATTCCATGACACTCTCCTCGCGCAGCCCCGTTATCTCGAGCACATTCTGTTGGTTTAGCAACGTCAATTTTTTGTGGAAATCCAACCAACTGAAAGAAATCCATACATTTTCATATCGATTTTTGAATTACATTGTATGGTAAGGGAGTATGTAAAAGTTTGAATTTTTACCTTTTTATACCGACATTTTCGAGCTCCGAAACGTTCAAGCTTTCTACGTAAGCTTCAATTTCCCATGGTGGTACTATGTATTCCACCTGCTCTGCCATTCTTTCGGAAAGAATTCTTAACGTGTTTTAACGTTAGATTCTAAATAACGATCATTATGTATTGACAGCATTCTTGTGTCCATGACAACAAAAGTACATACGTTTGATCGATAAATCGTATATATAAATGTATATATATGAATTTACATATAAATGAATTTACATATTTAATACAACGCATTGATAAAATATTCTTATATCAGCGTCGTAGTAACTGAAGCGATAAATCAATTATATAGTATTCTGATGAATCTATATATACAAATAATAGCAAACGTTACATTCAAATAATGTAATTAAAATCAGTAATTACCAAAATAAAAAGTAATAAGTGATTGAAGTAATCAAAATAAAATAGTATAGTTTATTTTATTATCTTCCAGTTTATTTCGCATATATTCAAATTTAATAATAAGACCAAGGTACATATACGTGTCATAAGTTATAGACAGACCTATAAATAAAAGATAAAAAATAAATATTTCTTACTTTGATATACAACCGCATTATTTTGCTTAGCTAGATTTTTAAAATTGTCAAATGCACCCGTTGATTGTCCACTGAGGAACGATCTAAAGTGGCGATTAAGCATGATTGGCTCTTATTTTTAGATCCGATCGTTCCGACCAATCGTTCCTCGACCGCTGTTGTGGCACTCTAGGTGCGTTCAGGGAGACGCTATTAGCGCTATTTGTGTCATTCTATCCTTGTTTTACGTTTAATAATCAACGAAGATAGAATGACAGAATAGCGCTATTAGCGTCTTCCCGAACGCACCATAAGTGAGCGATCACAATGAAATTGCGCAAGCGCAATTCCGTCCATCTGACCGATCGCTAACCTCGTTTTTGAAATTTGCATGGTTTCGCGTGAGGACGTTGATAACACCGTCAAAAGTAGACGTAGACAACATCCTCTCCTGTCAAAAGGTACGATGTATCGCACGTAGTATCGGCGATTTTCTCCGCGATCGAACGCGCGATGGATGCCGTTTACGTGCTCCGTTGTCGCGCGATGAGCTTGTAGGATGGCGACGAGGGAGAGCAGGATCGAATCTGTGGCGGATCCCTGCCCTGTAAATCCACGCAGGATCGGCCCGCAGAACGTGGTAGTGCGTCTCCGACGTAGGGAGACGATGGGTTGTCCATATCCGGGCACCCATGTGCACTGCGCTCGGCAGTTCTACCAGAATGTCTTTCCCAACTTCACTGTGATGAATGTGGAGAAGCCGCCGTGCTTCCTCCGCAAGTTTAGCCCGGACGGGAGGTACTTAGTGGCGTTCAGCGCGGATCAGACTTCGATCGAGGTATACGAGTATCGCGGAGCACCGGCCGCTGCGGACTTGCTGGCCGACTGCGAAGGCGAGTACATCGGCCACAAGAACGACGACTGTAGCTTTCACATACGAAGTAATATCTTCACGCGACTTTTCAAGGTACTGGATACTAACCGACTTCGCACGGCATACGCCTTTACTTTGCGGATTGTAAAGATTAAAGAAAAGAGAAAAATAGAGAGAAAGATAGAGAGAAAGAGAGAGAGAGAGAGAGAGAGAGAAAGGGAGAGAACCGGTGAAATTGATGTACCAGCTCTGAAACGTATTTGTAGGTAAAGTGGATTATAAATGTAGTAGAAAGCAACCAGCAATTGAACAGAGAATGCAGTCTTTTCACCGACGACGCTCGGTATGTAATTGTGGGCTCGGCCGCTCATATCCCTGAGGAGTTGAGGCCACACTTTTATCAGGTAGCAAAAAATTTCTAATCGTTTTATCTAAGATTATTACTCTTTCTGAAAAAGAGAGTTTGATAAAATATTATTTCTTGAAGATTTATTCCAATAACGAGGCACTGACACCAAATCCTAGATCACCGCTTGAAGATTATAGCTTGCATCTTGTTGATTTGAGGGGTGGAAAGTTATGTGACACTAGACATTTTAAAGTCGATAAAATTTACTTGTCGCACAATCAAGGTATATAAATGAGATTTAAACAAACCATCGCTGCTTATCTGATCAAGTTGGATTTAACGTTGTACAAATGTGATTT